CCCTCCCCCCGTTGACAGTTCACGAGCGCGTCCATAGTGTCTCCCGTCCACCCACCACCCCGTCCACCCCCACTACACCACTGCCTATAGTTTTGTGGTAACGTTCACGCCACTAATGACAAAAGTGTAGGCATACTGCTGCTGTGAGTTGCTAGCCTAACTCTAACCCGTGAACGTTACCACAAAACTATAGGGAATATTATTGTTCATAACAGGTAATTGTCCTTTTTGAAGAGTGTGTAATGTATGCTTGAACTTTGTTTTATTTTCTAAAAATGATAAGAGTTGTCTTTCCGGAAGTCATGTGGCCTCTTGCCCCGGATGTTAATATTGTGTTTGTGTGCGGTGAAAGTGTCAACGATGTCATAACGTAATTCTACTGCTGGTCTACTAGGCAAACACGTTTTCACGGTGTTTCATGATTGTGCAAAGAAGAGAATAAACGTGATTGTGGACATCAGTTCGATGCGTACTGTAATGTTCTTTCAAGACCAGAGTAGTTACACCTTATTTAGGACAAGATGCCGTTTGCATGGTGGAGAGCAGCAAGGTGATGAAGGGACCTTTGAAGACAGCGCCACTGCAGCGCATGCGCACTTCTTATCTCATTATGACTTTTTATCTCATTATTTCGACTTTCTTATCTCATCATTTCGACTTTTTTATCTCATAATTATGACTTTTCATGGGGATTTTATTTTTTTCAAGTGGCGGAAATGGGCTTCCATACTGACGGGCAGGTAGGCCATTCAGTTATTTTAGCCGGGCCGGCTCAGATGATTGGTTGTGCTTTTTACAGTACTAGGCTTCCACAGATGACATTTTTTAAATGGATTTGTTGTCAAAGCACTTCAGATATTCATTGCTATCGGGATGTTAAGAGCATTCCATGGAATATAACAAAAAGTGTATCTCGAGCCCACCTTTAAGTAAATTAAAAATACAAACGTTTTCTAGGTTTGGAGATATCTAAGATTAGCATGCATTGGACCATAGGACAACACATCTGAACCTGGTAGATTATAGTAAAAACTACAATTGAAAAAAAGGCAGTGATCGAGATGTAAAGCCTGATCAAATTAAATGTGTGATTTCATGCTGCCATGGGATCAAATAACTGGTTTTAATGTGGACATTTTAGTCTTTATCTTACATAGCTACATACATTTAAACAACAACCTATTTATAGGAGCTGAAATTAAACTTGGAAAAAAATTCTGTAATAACAAAAAAAAAAAAATTAAACAAATACAAAATGTTTGCCAAATGTCTTAAAACAGAATATAAAAATAATAATAATGTAATATTAAATAAGAAAGCCAAAAAATATCAGTGGTGACGCATAAGGGTTAAATTCATCAGGCACTCATGACTTCTCGTATTTAATATAATATTTAATGATTTTTATGTTATGTATCTTTATTGGACGTATTATTTAAAATGTTATGTTAATATAATATATGTTATCTTATTCATTCTTAAATAGAACAACTGTCAAAACATTTTTTTTTATGATTCTGATTAATAAAAGATATATACCTTGTGCAGGAAGCCAGGTGGATTGTGGGAAGTGGAGTCCTCTCCTGAGTCAGCCTTCTCCTGGTTGTCTGAAGCCTCCTCTGTCTCCTCCTCCTCCTGCTCCTTAGGGGGTAACAGTGGAGGTTTATCTGTGCAGTGGAAGGAGACTCGAGGGGTGGGAACAGGTGGAGCTTTGGGTTTCCCCTCCTCTTTTGATGATGGTGCCTCACTCACTTCCTCCTCCACTTCCTCTTCATCCTTCTCCTCCTCCTGTAGTTCACTTTCTGCAGCATCACAGGGTTCAGACACTTCTTGATTGGCAGCTTCTGATTTCGGCACCCCGACCCCAGAGTCATCGGACTGGTTTTCAGCGAGTTCGTCTTCCACCTCCACTTCCACCTCCTCTTGATTCAGACTCTCTGTTTCCTCCTGCTCGCACACCGACTGCCTCTGAGGAGAGTTGCTGCCGCTGGAGCTGAACTCAGAGTCCGACGAGTCTTTGAACGACGACGCTGCGTTTTCCTCCGATCCCTGGACGGTGTCTTTTCCATTTTCTCCGTCAGCTGCATGGAGGGAGACGTGGTCCGTGGGGAAGGCTGTGTTGCAGGGGATGGGGTTGGAGATAACCAGAGACTTCCTCTTCTTGGCCTTGCTTGTACTGCTATTTGAAGAAAAATAAAACATAGTTGGACCTTTTTTTAAGCATTCAAGGTTAATTTTAGCATATTTAAAAAAGATCCCCTATTATACTGTTTTTCATCAATATATTATAGCTCTCAGATATAAACAAAACATGTCTCTGAAGTGTTTGGCTCCAAACACCAAACAGATCATTGCAGCATTACCCATAATCCCCTCTGTTTCAGCCCTGTTTCCAAAGTGCTGATTCTCTGTCTGTTACTTTAGATGAAAATAAGGAGCCCCTCCCCACGCCCCTCTGAGAGAGATTTGGTTAGAAAGAACACAATGGAGCTCTAGGAGGAGATTCAGGTGATAAGGAGGGGGGTCGGGGGTTACCTTGGTTGGCCTGATTGGCCTAAAGTGGTTACACTCAAGGCCAAAACATCGTAGGACATCATAAAGGGCTTAAAATCTGACAGCCTCATTTTCAAGACAGGGTTTTATATAAATAGAATCAGGACAAAAGAGAGAGAATCCTTTTGTTCCTGAAAACTTTCAGAGTCCTCTTTCCACAGAGGGGGAACACATGTTGATGAGAAGAGACATGGAGAAAAGAGACAACGAATGTTGATGTAGAAGAGAAACATGAAAGAAGAGGGGAACACATGGTTGATGTAGAAGAGACATGAAAGAAGTAGGGGACACCATGTTGAATGTAGAAGTAAAAGAGACATGAAGAAAGAGGGGACACATGGTTGAAATGTAAAAGAGACATGAAAGAAAAAGAGGGGACACATGTTGATGGTATCGAAGGAGACATGAAGAATAGGGGACCACATGGATGATGTAGAAAGAGACATGAAGGAGAAAGGGGACACAGTGTTTTGATGTAGAAGAGACATGAAGAAAGGAATTTTGCCACAATACCGCCTGACCTTTAAAAAAAGCATTCAAAGTTAATTTTTTCTTCCATTTTCCTTTTATGAATACAAAGTATTATTTAACAATTTTGTTGTCTGTGAAAAAGTGTAAATATGTAATTTTAATTCAATTTAATCCCAATAGATGCCTTCTCATTGCTGCTTTTATTTATTGTGCACATTCTTTGACTGCAATTGAGAGATGCCTACGAAATGTTGTATGAATATTCCTGCCTTTTTAACAATCCAACCTGTAAATGCAAAACATTGCTTCCATATTATGAAAACCACAATAAGCAAGAAAGCAGCACTAACATGAATGCCAAGTTATTTCCAGTAAAAATACATTCGTGCTTCGTGAACAGCTTTAATAACCCCAGCCTCACCTGTGCAGGACCCCTTTGAATGATGAAGCTTTTCCCTGAGTGTTGAGTCTCCAGTTTCCCTTCCATCACATTGGTACAGGCCTCATGTTCAGCCTGCAACACGACATAACATCTAACACGAACCGTCAATATCATTTAAAACATGCATGAGGACATGTCACTAGTATGAGAGTGGGAAAATTATGCTTTTCTCCCACCACGCTCATTTCCTTGTAGAAGACGGTCTCTCAGGTTGATAATATTTTGGAAAACACCGTCACATAGCAACCTTCCGGCTACAGACACAAAAAAGAGCTCTCGTTAATCTTTCATTCAATCTCATATTCCCTTCTGAGTAAAACAAATCAAGTGGTCATATGCCAACGTTCTGTTAAAATGTCTGTTTGAAGAACATTTTGTTGTAAATTTTAGAGGCCTGATTTACCACATTTACAATCTAACGCATGCCGTTTTCTCTTTGACTTTTAAAAGTCTCTGGTGATAAAAAGTTTCATGTTGGATTTAATAAGTAGTTTTCCCTAGTTTGGGCTTTAATAATAAGAACAGAATTAAAAAAAAAAGTGGTCTCATTTTGGCCACAAGAGGCCCTTAAGACAAGCGAGACACTGGCCGTTCTCAATCTTCGAGGGAACACTGGCTTTCCAAGCCAAATATTTCAAGGATGCTACGTCCATCGAAGTGCACCAGCGAAGACTGGGTCCAAATCTCCAGCATACTTGCCGGAATTCCACCGAGGGCCTGCGTCTTGGTTGGGCGTAATTCAAGGCTGCACATGGGAGACTGCGTTCCTTCTCAAAATCCCCCACAAGTGCCTTTGCGCACGGACTCCAAATTTCCCCAAATCTGTGGCGGAACAAATGTAAAGGCGGGGCTCGCATTATGACGCACACCTGCACACTTGCTCGCCTGTTTCCACTCTTCGTTTTCCGAAATGCCAGGAAGGATCTTAAGCTCGCGATGAAGGAAGTGACTCGGAGAACAGTGGCTAAACCAAAGCAAGCATCCTCGCGCCACCTTGAAAACGGCCCACGCCCCTTCGTTCCGAGTTAAAGCCTTATGATTTGGTTTAAATTAAATGAAGTTTTTACTTTCTCCATACACTCCATAACACATATCAATTTCTAACAATATATAGTGTATCAGCAGCAAGTTAGGCAGTGGTGTTAATATATACAGCCTTTTGACAACAACACGACAACCATTTTGCAGATAAGCCAAAAAAAAAAAAAAAGGGGAACTGAGAAAAATGGTGGTTAAACGTTTTCATCCACTTGGATAAGCTATGGAACACGAAAGGAGAGAAAACCATTTAGAATCTAATGACTGAAGAGTGGGCGGGGTTTCCCCCTTTTTGCCGAAGAAGGTTTTTTTTTTTGCATCGCCAAAAAAGGTTCTTCAAATGAAAAGGTCTTCAAATTAAAAAAAGGAAAAAGGGTAAGGACATCCTCACGTATTTAAAAAGGCAAGGAGGACAAACACTATCATGTTCTTTGCTCACATCACTTTAAATATAATCGGCAACAATGTTTATGAAACAGAAACTTCGTCAGAGACCTACAACTGTAAATTGTTTATGTTTATTTAAACAAATAAATTCGGCATTGTTTTTACCCAACCACAACTCGTTAAGGCTGGTATATGAAAACACGGATACTTCTTCGAACGTAAACTGTGATTATCTCACACGGATATTGCCAGCTTACTTGAATAATGATATTAAATTCTCCACGAAATGTCCACTAAAGTTGTTATCTAATGATTCATGATAAACCTTACCTCTGATAGAGACAGGCACTCGCGGCCCTTCAAGTCCTCGGTGTTTATCTCCTCAAAGACATTTCTGGCTTTTGTTGAAACTCTTCATAGAGCCTGTTGACAGATCCAAAAGAACCATCCATTCAAAAATAATACTTGGCAGTCGATAACTAATCCAGTCTTGCACAATGAACATTTCTCAAAAGTTGTTGAAGTGACTTGTTACGTTTGTATATATTGGATTGTTGTGCTTTTACTTATGTCCTTAAATGTCGTGCATACTGTATAGTGTCCTGTGTGATTGTGTATAGGTAGGATATAATAGTTTGGTAATAATTGTATTTTTTATATTCGAGATGTGGGAAGACGTTATTTCGATTCATCTGTCTTGGTAACACACAACTGAAAAGATTCGACAATAAAGTCCGACTTTGACATCTGCCACCACTTATGACTATAATATAAATGGCTTATTCTAGTGATGGTGATCGTGGGCGAAATCGATTCCGATTCTGTTGACGCCTTTGGTACGAACGAAGGGGAACCGGGTCTTTTTTTATCCGTGGGTTCACCTGCCCTGCCATAAATTCCACTCGCTTTAACCCGGAACTTGCTTTTCCCTCGGCATGCAAATTTGCCATGCTGTAAGATCAGTGTGTTCTCCAAAACCCTTTCATATAGAAAACCAAGGAACCACTNTTCTCGCTTCAGAGCACATCTCGAATTATCAGTAGCCGGGCTAGCTTAACGGTCCACAGACTGAACCCAAAGCTAACATTCGGTCGACGGGCGCGGCAAGCGCCCGTCGACCGAATGTTAGCTTTGGGTTCAGTCTGTGGACCGTTAAGCTAGCCCGGCTACTGATAATTCGAGATGTGCTCTGAAGCGAGAAGAGGTGTTTGAATGACGCTGCGTCGTAGCGCAAGCTACTTATAGGGTGGGTGGATTCCCTGACGTAGACGTCAAGATCACCAGCCAATTAGGATTGGCGTAATGAGATTGATGCTTCTGTTTGCATACGCGTTGAGGCGCATCCCATAGTGAGACATCGAACGGATTGTTATGAATGAGAACTATAGGCATATATATTATAGTTCATAACAGGTAATGTCAAAGCTATGAACTGCATTGTTGTAGTTTAGCTGCAATATAGGCTATATGTTACATCTAACATTTACAAAAGTCACCTGTAATAGTTACCTTATTTAGGACTAGATGCCGTTTGCATGATGGAGAGCAGCAAGGTGATGAAGGGACCTTTGAAGACGGCGCCTCTGCAGCGCATGCGCACTTCTTATCTCATAATTATGAATTTTTATCTCATTATTATGACTTTCTATCTCATAATTATGACTTTTTATCTCATATTATGACTTTCTTATCTCATAATTATGAATTTTTATCTCATTATTTCGACTTTCTTATCTCATAATTATGACTTTTTATCTCATTATTATGACTTTTTATCTCATAATTTCGACTTTCTTATCTCATAATTATGACTTTTTATCTCATTATTTCGACTTTCTTATCTCATAATTATGACTTTTTATCTCATCATGACTTTTTATCTCATTATTATGACTTTTTATCTCATAATTTCGATTTCAACTTGCTCCACATGTAATATTATTGTTATCAATGATTTTCTGCATAGCTTACATGTTTATCAGGGGAGTGTTGGCTTTATGTATCCCTAACATCCCAATAAATGATAGTCTCTAGGAGTTAGTATTCGAGTTTGAATTTTAGCTGGAATAATTTCCACATGATATTGAAGAAGTTTCATCAAATCTCTCTTTACTTCTTTGAAACTTCAGTCAATGTTTATGATTGACCAAAACTATTTTGTATGCAAGTGCATCCAGTCCATTTTTCTCCTGCTGTCTCTCTGTCTCTTCCAGCACTACTTTCAGACATGGCTACTTCCTTTCATTACAGAAGTTTAACAGAGGCTGTAATAGTAGGCCTACACTGCGGTAAAAACCTGTGATGTGCTTATTCACTACCTTTAAAGGCCTCAAATGGAGAAAAGAGTAGGTCTACGTGCTTTCACAGGGAACCAATTAGGAGATGCAGCACACACCTATTCAAGTTGGGAATCAAAAGCTCAGAGTTTTGCATAACATGGATTCTTACACTAAGATTGTTGGCACACAAAGGTCAGTTATTTTAATACACTTTTTTTTAAATGCTTCTCTATCCCTAACACTCACTCCCCCAATGAAAATCCCATCATTAAAGTTGTTGAAATGTCCACATAATTTTTTGATATGCTACAAGACATATCATGAGCGAAATAACGTCATTGACATACTTTACTAATAAACAAAATATAAATTAAAGCCTTACATCAATTTTTACATTTAAAATGTGTCTGAAAGAGGATTTTCTACTGGAATACATTTTATGATGACAGTGTGTTTTGGATAGATATATGACCTGCAGGCGACTTTTCTCAGCTTACGAGCATGTCTGTGTTTTAAAACCAAGCTTTTATATAATTTAGAAGAACACACACACACACACACACACACACACACACACACACACACACACACACACACACATGCGCATCCACAGACATAGTTGGAAGACCTTGGTTTTATCATTAATTTTCACCACCACTGTGCTTTGACTGGACCTCCTAGAGATGCTAAGTGACAGTAACGTTGAGTGTGTGTATGTGTAGGGAATTTGAAGTGTGTGTGTGCGGGGGTGTGTATATCTAACTTAATTTGGCTCCCTTGCCGGGAAAGAATTATGTTTTCAGCCAAACCAGGCCTGTGTTGCTTAGAAGCACCGCACCTCTCTGCCGTTCCTCAGTGTAGGGAATACTATCTCGACTCTCATTAGCAGGGAGACTGTGACATCTTCAGTGTGCTGCTTATGCCTTTGCCACCTTTGTGTGTGTGTGTAAGGCAAGATGTGGCTGTTTTTATTTATACCTGCATATGTCTGTGAATCTGTGTATACGCTGGCTATATCATCTCCTACGTGCTTATGTTTGTGTGTCAATCAGCCAGCTGTTAGTATGTGGATGCAGATTACTCTTGTGATTTATGTAGCTGTGAACACACTGAATCTCAGAGCTGTCCAACAAAATGGATCAACCATTCTCTTGATTTAGTTTTCCTTCTCATCAGCTTCTTCCCTTTTCTCCTCGCCTTCATCCTCCCTCCCAGTCCTTCTTCAGTTAATTTCTGTCTGAGCTTTGAAGAGAAAAGCCAAATACACTCTAATATGACTCAGAAAGCAGTGTCTGTGCTTCTTGAAATGATGGACCAGTGCATGGACACAAGCTATCAGCTATTGCTGATTGATTTTTCTTTAACCTTGATTGCCTCTACTTTACTAATGAATCTATTGGTCTGACAAGGAAAGTTAATCTGAAACAATCTTAAGATGAGAATTGATTAAATGTTGTTTCTTTATCAAACTGAATATCCCAAAGCTCTGCTCGTTCCAGCGTTTTAGGCTTGAGGATTTGTTGCCTGGGGTTCTGGGAACTTGTGATATTCAATTTAAATTGACTGTTGCAGCAGATTTTAAAACTCATATGTTGCCAACAACTGGCCACAATGTGCAGTATAAGCAGAAAGTGCTGTTTTGCACAACAAGGGTATAAAGAGATCAATAAATCAGATCAATCAACTGTTGAGATATTTTTTAATTAAATACCACATCTATCAACATAGATGTGTCAAATGAGGATAACACTGATATACTGTGTCGGCCTACATTTTTGTCCACAACCTATACTTTTCCATCAGCTGAAAAATATGAAATGTATTGAGCTTTGAGGTTAGCAGAACTGCCCACGATACAAAGTACTTGGTGGCGAATATTTTTTATTTAGCAATACATTTCCTTTTCAGTATTCCTTCTAACTGCCCTCTAAACAGTCTTTACACCTTTGAATGTCACATGTATATTTCGTTACGTGTGTAAAAGCACATGGTATGATTTTTTTTTTGTATTTCTGCTCCTTGTAGACAGAGTCTTTGGCAGTCTTGCATATTCTGTTGATCTCAGTTTTTAAGATTGAGCAGATATTTTTGGTGATTTAAATATTCAGTCCCAGCTTGATTATCACCCAGCTTACACATCTGTTCAGGTACCA